AAAACTTTTTTGGCAACAAGGCTACTCGGTATGGTAATGAAAACGAAATAAGGGCTTTATCAGAATTTGAAAAAAATTATAATTTAAAGGTAAATCAGAGCGGTTTTCATATTGATCAAAAATATCAATTTTTGGGTGCAAGTCCGGATGGTCTTATAGGGGATCATGCTCTAATTAAAATTAAATGCCCTTTAAGTATTAAGGAGCAAACACCAGCGAATGGAATTACCTCAAAAAAAATATATATTTTGCCGAAATAATTAATGGCAAACTTCATTTAAAACGGAACCACAATTATTATTTCCAAATCCAGGGCCAACTGGCATTTACCAACCGGCAAATTGGATATTTTTTGATCTGGAGTCCTCATGGTATTCTTGTAGAGGAGGTAAAGTTTTTAATAATATTTTTTATATTATTATTACCGAACTGTATTTTTGATATTTAGTAATAACCAAACACTTATTTTCAGTTAATGGCAATCCGTTAGAATGATAAAAACAATAGAAAATTGCAGACTAACTACCATTAGGTTTAAAAAAAACTATTGAAAATTGTTTAAATCTGAAATAATGACTAAAAATTGTTTTTATCATTCTCAGCGATTCCCAATCACTAAAGAAAATAAAATATAATGGTCATTAAACAAATTATATCTTATCCTAATCATAATTTAATTTCTTTTTTGTTGTAGATCCCACGAGATGACGTATTTTGGAAGGAAAAAAATGCTTTCAAAGTTAAAACTATTTTATAATAATTATTTATTGCCTGAAATAGTAGATCCGCTACATCCGAAGGGGTTACCTATTCGGAATAAGGTCTAAACACCTTTATTTATTTAGATTAAATTATGTTTTAATTTTTAAAATAGAATTATAATATTTTACATAAAAAGACATGTTATTTTAAATGCCATATTCCATTTGAATAATAAAAAAATTATACTTTTAACTAATTAGTACTTAATACAACACAGATATACATTTTTTTATTAAAATTTTACAATTCTGTATCATAGAAAGTAAAACGTGGGATTAACTGATTAAAACTAGAGATCCCCAATAAAATGGTATTAACTAAGTAGGTAGCGAGAAAAATACCTATCTAATTTAAAATTTATTTATATTAATATTTTCGCCACTTTACCACATATTCATTTGGTTAATACTACTCTAATTTCACCAATATTCCCGTCATACCAATAAAAACGCCTTAAAAACGTTTACGCTTTATTGATCACAAACAAACAATCCGTTATCCCACGAGAAAAAAAATAATAAACCCGATCCTGTTACCATTCTGATTCATAATTATATATTTCATACTTTGTTCCTTTGTCGCTTTTCCAAATTCTGTAATAGTGCCAAACATAAGTAATATACCTATGTGCGAAAACCATATTTTGTGAAGGTCAAATGCGCTCGACCAACGACACTGTTGCCGTACTCCACAAATCGCGTCTCTCTGCGTATGCTAGGCACAAATCCCAAATTCGACCACGCGGTCCAGTACAGAGTGCTCTTAAGTAGTCTTTTTAAAAAATTAACATTTAATTAATATTTAGATTACCTTTTAGAGTAGTATTTTTATTAAATGAAACCGCCGTTTTACTTTTAAAAGTTGAATGAAATAGCGCCCTTTGATAATATTAATTTTTATCTATTTCTATCTGTGTATTTAAGCTGAAATATTAGTTTGATTCTTTCAGGAAATATTTTCCTTGTGTATTTCTTTTTCTAATTTACTTTTTTACGCACACTGATTTTTTCCGGAGATACCTTGCACAGAATTCACTTTCCTAAGGGGTAGGAAAGACTATTATCTTTAGAGCTATAAGCTGTTTAATTTTTTTGAGGCTTATTTAAATATTAATCTTAAAATTCACATATTTGCTGTTCCTTCAGCCTTATCGACTGAATGTAACTTGCAGTAAATTATTATTTTTTAGTAAGGCTCAGTTTCGCTAAAATAGTTTTAACTGTCAGTGAATACTAGTAAAACACGTTTTTTAGTCTAGCTCTCTCAGCGCTAGTAACTCAAGTCGTACTTACCGGCACGCTGTCTCTCTCTATCAAGCAATTCTCAGAAATGAGTGTCCGGTGCATAGGGAACGAACCCCAAGTGAGGTATTATTATGTCATGACGCACCTCATTGGCCAGAATCACCTCCTACTACCAGTACTAAAGATACGATGCGTCAGGTATGCCCCGGACACTCATTTAGGCGTTCAGCTATTTTAACTATGGACATGATTTTCGAAGGGGGTGTTAAGAAAGACCAGTCGAGACGTACCTACGTTAATTTTCATTCTAGCGATAAACAAATGAATTTTAAAATTGGCAACTATTTAATTAATGTGTACTTATTAAGTTATTAGTTAAGAAGTTCGATTTATTTAACCAATATTCGTTGCACCTTATGTGTTGTTAGTGATAATAAAAGCACTTCGTCTGCTACCAAATCTCAAGTTATTTTCCCCACACCAGCGACGTATTGATACAAGACATTAATTATCAAAAAAAGGTTGGAAATAAAATAAGCATTTTTTCATGGTCCTACGAGCCGGATATAGGAAATAAGAAGGAAGATACCTAGCATATCTACTGAGTCGACAAGGCTACGAGGCATCCTGAAGAAGCAGACGAAAAGCATCTTCACGTAGTTGCAGGCCTGCGCAGACGAAAAGCACAAGTAGGAAAAATATTTATTCAAATTTTCTTATTTGTTGTAGAAAAAATTATTTTTATAACTCAGTAAACCTCTCGCAAAATTTTTTGAAAAATGAAACACTTGGAATTTTTTGCAAATTTTAGGAAAAATATTTTTTCATATTTTTATAATAGTTGCGTAGTATAAGGCCCCTGAGTCTGAAGTCCACACGAGCAGTTAAATCATTTATTTAATAATCGTAGGTAGCCATGGAAGGGCTAAAAAAGGCTAGAGCAACTTGTAAAGCTCGGATAACAAGAGCTGAAACTTGGATTGAGGCAAATGCCTCTTGTAGAGATAACAATCAAGTAATAGTAAGATTAGAACGGGTCAAAGATTATTTTTTAAAGTATTCGTCCGCGCAAGACCAGATAGAACAGGACGATCCATTGGACACCGATAGAGATACCACAGAGGTGTCTTATTTTAGTACATATTCCAAATTACAAAAATTATTGGATAAGTTAACTGTGTCATCGAGACCTACCATTCAAGCTCCTACTAACTCTACCCATGTTGTATCTCAATCAAGATTGAAATTACCAGAAATAAAAATACCAATATTTTCTGGGAATTCTCTCGAATATACGTCATTCATAAATCTTTTCAATGCATTAATTACCAACAATGTTCATATGGGATCAGACTCAGAAAACCTTTTTTATCTTAGGTCACACGTTAGTGGTGAGCCTCTAAAATTAATAGAATCATTAGCAATTTCTAATGATAATTTTCAAGTTGCATTAGATCTGTTAAATAACAGATACAATAACGTCAGGCAGATATTAGCCAACCATTTTAATCAATTGCTAACGATTCCAGAATCAGGGAAATGTACTGTTGCCAATTTAAAAGAGTTCATTACAAACGCTCAATCAACTTACGAATCATTATTAACATTAGACTACCAATCAAAGGAGTTGTTTGTAGCATTAATCTCACAAATCATTTCGCTAAAACTAGATTATCAGTCGCGCAAAGCCTTTGAGGAACAGACAAGCCACAATTTCCATAACACCCCTACAAATCTTTTTGAATTTCTGAATAAACGATGTATGGTAATGGAATCTATTCAAACGGTTCAACCGAAAGTAGAGTCCACTAAAAATGGAACTCAAAATCAAGGTACTCCTCGGTCGAACAGAGTGTCATTTCATGCAGTAACACAGCATGGACCGGAAAGTGCTAAACCGGTGCATCGTTCCCCTCAGGTACAACATCTATCCTGCGCAGTGTGTAGTGATCAAAGTCACAAAATCTACACGTGTCCCCAGTTTTTGGCGTTATCGGTTGCGGATAGGAGAGCTACCATCAGCAAGTATAGATTGTGTTTCAATTGTTAAGGGCGTAATCATCCTTCCAATAGGTGCTTGTCACGGTCAAGTTCTGCAATGTGCAACAAGAGGCATCACTCGTTGCTTCACGAGACCTTTTTTCAGCAACAAGTCCCCATTTCACATCCTCGAAACGAATCACTTTATCCATTTCCCCCTCCTAATTTAGCAGCAGGGAATGGAACAATAAAAAAACAACAACTAGGTCAATCTAGTTGACAATCACAAATGTCTTTGTCTGCAACATTCACATCACCCTGCAATCAATACGTCTTGTTGGCAACTGCTCAAGTACAAGTTAAATCAAGTTCAGGAGAACCAATAGTAGCAAAAGCACTATTGGATAACGGTAGTCAAATGTCTTTCATTACAGAAAGTTTGTTAAAAGAGCTTGGATTTGAACAATCTATCAATGTTTCAGGTATTTGTCAAAAGGACCAAGTTATTAATGGCGTCATTGATCTTCATTTGGTATCAATTCATCCTCCATTTAGTACATTTACCACCACAGTTGCAGTGGTGGACCAAATCACATATCAATTACCACAGATCTTTCTAAACTCAAAAATATTGTAAATACCCAGACATTTTAAAAATCAGTTAGCGGACAAAGATTTTAACACACCATCAACCGTGGAGATCTTGCTTGGAGCATATCTTTATCATGAGATTATTAAGCCTGGCATTTATAAACTAGGAATAGGGTTGCCCTCCTTAATCAACACCCATTTAGGTTGGGTCATTTCGGGCAGCATGCCTGTCAGTGGCACAAAGTCACAACGTTCAAATCTATCTTATCATAATGCAACCAAGTTTAACTTAGGAGCAGAAGGCTATAATATCAAATATCTTTCAACCAATGTGGGTGAGCCAAAGTGCTCCTTGATCAGCCCTCAATCCTGTCATAATTATTTATCTAACGAAGACTTAGAGTCAGAAGGCTCTCACAGAAACTATGTATCAAACGTGGTGGGTGAGTCAGAAGACTCCTTGATCGGCCCAGTATCACCTTTAATTAAGGTATCAAACTTTTCTTTTCTATCCCCTAGCTCAACAGAAGTTGAAGCTGGTAGTGGAATATCAAACGTGGTGGGTGAGTCAGAAGACTCCTTGATCGGCCCAATATCACCTTCAATTAAGGTATCAAACTTTTCTTTTCTATCCCCTAGCTCAACAGAAGTTGAAGCTGGTAGTGGAACATCAAACGTGGTGGGTGAGTCAGAAGACTCCATGATCGGCCCAGTATCACCTTCAATTAAGGTATCAAACTTTTCTTTTCTATCCCCTAGCTCAACAGAAGTTGAAGCTGGTAGTGGAACATCAAACGTGGTGGGTGAGTCAGAAGACTCCATGATCGGCCCAGTATCACCTTCAATTAAGGTATCAAACTTTTCTTTTCTATCCCCTAGCTCAAGAGAAGTTGAAGCTGGTAGCGGAATATCAAACGTGGTGGGTGAGTCAGAAGACTCCATGATCGGCCCAGTATCACCTTCAATCCAGGTATCAAACCTTTGCATAGAGCCCGACTGTTCTAAGTTAAACCCAGGTTACAATCTCTTTAAGCTATTACTAACTAACAAACAGCCTTTGTCACTATCACTCTTAGATTATACAAACCTTAGATGGAACATAAGACACTGCGCATAATCCCATTTCGAAATTATTCACACCCACCAATCACAGTTGAGAACATCACATGTCAGAGCGTTGTCCATCCAAATTTAATGTGTCAACGAGAATTAATTTGGTATTTTAGTGACTTAAATTTTGGAAATTAACGTTTAAAATGCCAAGATGTGTTGTAGAAAGCTTTATTTATAATAAAAGTGCGAAATGTGATGGAGATAAAAGAAACTTATATTTATTTCGGTGAGATATTTAATTTTTAAAGATTCTGTCGACGTCCATATTTGTTGATTTGAAAATAAACAGAATCGGACTTGGTCATTGGTACATGTTATAAGTAGCAAATAAAGGTTATTTTTATAAACTGTTTACTATTTCTTGTTTCATGGTGAATCTGTTTTCAGGAAGTGGAAAGAGAAATATACAATCAAATACAAAAATATCAATTTCATTGCAAATTTATTCATTTCAAACTTCACAACTGGTTTCAATAGTTTTTTCAAAACTATTTATTTAGTATTTCTCTATAACAGGGTTACTTAAAATATGCTCCGTGGAGCCCTGGGGCTCCGCAAAGCCTTTGTGAGGACTCCGCGAAGAAAATAATCATAATAAAAAAACAGTACTATCTCCACAAAATGGAGGGACCTGGCTTGAGGACCTTTTTTTGAGAAGTAATTTTTTTAAGTCACTAAGATAAAGGAGGATATGATTTTGCTTTAGGACTTTTTTTATTTTATTTGTTATGGGTGAAAAGGAATCGTTGGAATTAATCAAAAATAAATTAACAACAAATTATGTTCTTATGCATTTTCAGCCTGAGTTGCCGATTAAATTAATCGTAGATGCATCAAATGTGGGAATAAGGGCCATATGTCATGTTTTTGAAAAAAATATTGAGAAATCTATAGCTCCTGCTTCGCGTATCTTATCAAAGTCCGAACAAAAATATTCCCAAATTGAAAGAGAGGGCATTGCAATAATTTTTGGCTTAAATAAATTTAATGAATATTTATATAGACATTTCTTTATCCTAGTTACAGATTACTTACCTCTGGTAACTATTTTTAACCCAGCTAAAGGTATACCCCCATTTTCAGCCAACAGACTACGTAGATGGGCAGTAATATTGTCAAATTACAATTATAAAATTGAATATGTAAAATCGGAGCATAATATGAAGCCAATTTTTTATCACGTTTACCTTTGAAAGTCAAAATGAGAGTCAAAATGAAGAAAAATCTGAAAAATATTTTTTAAATTATGTGTTTTATGTGTTGAGGGACCCGTCAAATATTTCGCTTTTCAAAAAGGTTCCGTCCCCAAAAATGTTTGAGAAACACTGCTCTATAATAATATGGGATCTATCCATTTAATTACATTTTATTTTCTCTAATTTTGACATATAAAGTAATATATTTTATAATCACAGCAAGTGCCAAAACGATCTACTTTATGCAACCAGTTGCATAATGTAGAACATTATGCAACTGATTACGAAAAGTTGATAATGTCACCAGTTACGAAATGAAAATAAATAAAACTGCCTCTTTTTTGGTTTTTAAGTCGAAAAATCGAGAAATCGAGTAATCGAAAAATCGAAAAATAAAAAATCGAAAAATCCAAAAAACTAAAAATCGAAAAACCAAATATCGAAAAAAGGCAATGAATAGTGACATTTCACATTTTTAAATATGACATTACGTTTAACGTTTTATTTTTAAATAATTGAACACCGTTATTGAAAACTGCCCAGAAATGTTGGGGGTAAAATTTTGACGTACTCCTTTAAGGATAATGGGTAAAAATGTTTTTTTTTTTCAAATTTCTCGCGGGTAATGTCAAAAATCAGATCAACAACACTGCACATGTTCCTTATTTTTATTATTATTATTGAAAAGAAAAAAAAAACGTCGTAGGGCAATCAAATACAACAATTGTCTGAAGTATTTGATTGGAAGTGCCTGCAAAAGAATGCTGGTGAATCATTTTTAAACACAATTTTATAAATAATCAAGACAAAATTAGAAAAAATCTTGTATGTAAACACGTTACCAAATGCCGTTTTGTGTAACTCGTTCATTTTGCAGGACCTCGCTCCGCTCGTCCCGCAAATATTTACTCGTTACACAAAATAAGGCATTTCGTAACTGGTTACATAAATAGCTATTAATTGACTTCCTAATATTTTAAATCATTGAACGGTATTTTCCGTAAATACTTAAATCATAAATAATTACCGGTATATAAGTACCAAAACATTTTTTTTTCTCTTTGAAGAATAGGCTTATGTCAAATAAACTTAAAATATAACGAACGAAAAGGTAACCCATTTCTAATAAAATTTAATTATTTATTTTATTTTGGTGTGATCGTAGAAAAAATCTTGTATGTAATTCGGCAAAAAGTACTTTGGCTGTTTCGATAACTTTTTGTCTCAACAGCTATTTTGTTACAATAATTTTATAAACTTTTACTTACGGTCGATTTCACCGTTTTGTTAAACGAAGTTTAAAATAGTAAACGAAGATTAAAATGACATTTTTATATTAACAAAAATAAAGTTTAAATTACGAAATGGAGTTTAAAATGACATTTTTACATTAACAATGTCATTTTAATCTTCATTTAGTAATTTAAACTTCGTTTGACACAACGGTGGAATCGCCCCTTAGCTAGTTATATATTGATAAAGTGTTATTGCCCTCATCAAAAATGAATCGTGCTGACAAATAAAGTCAAAAAAACGTCTCATAATTTTTCATCTTTTAGTTACCTACCAAAATTAGGTAGTACAATACAAATATTTAAGTCCGGTCCAGAACATCTCCCTACTCCTTCCACCCAGTTTTTCGGTTTTGGCAAAATTCGCGCAGTGACAATGCTTCCTATGTTACCTCTACCCTTTCTAACCTCTTTGCTATCACTGCCTACAGAGTCAGAAAACCCATTTAAGCTTCTGTTGGAAAATCCAGAAGATGAAATCGATTCAATCAGCAAGTTGCTAGAGAGGTTTTGGGTACAAGAAGAAGTTGAATGCCAGACAAGTTTATCCGAAGAAGACAAATTAGCAGAAAACATGTTTCGAACAACCACCATACAACTTTCCAATGGAAAATTCCAAGTCGATCTTCCATTCAAACATCGGTTAGCTCATCATCAACTAGGAGATTCCTTTCAGATAGCGAAGAATCGGTTTCTGACTTTCGAAAGGAAATTACAACAAAAACCACAGCTATTCAGTGAATATAAGAACTTCATTGATGAGTATCTTCAATTAAATCATGCCAGAATAGTCCCACTACATTTAAAGACAGCAGATAATGTTCCAAAATATTTTGCACTACGTCTTTGTGTCATTCGTGATCAAAGTGTTTCCACCAAGCTTAGAGTTGTGTTCGACTTCTCTTGTAAAACCACATCCAAATTGTCATTAAACGACATTTTATTAACAGGGCCTAGGGTTCAACCTGATCTGGTTGACATCCTGCTTAGATTTCGCACATTTAATTATGTTTTGACAGCTGACATTCAGAAGATGTACAGGCAAATCGTAATGAACCCTTTTCACAATTTTTTACAAAATATTTTATGGCGAAATTCACCAACCGACCCACTCCACAATGCATTGAGCTAACATCCGTTAGTTTTAGGCAAAGGAGTGCCCCTTACGTTGCTTGTCGTGTTTTAAACGAAATTGCTTCTCAAAACCCACATCGGGCTCTGGCTCATCAAGCCATCCTTGAACAAACTTATGTCGACGACATTTTAGCTGGTGCAAGTACCATCGATGAAATCAAACAACTAAAAAATGAATTAATTCAATGTCTAAGCCCCCATAGTTTTAAGCTTCACAAATTTTGTTCAAACGTACAATTATCAAAATCAGATCAAACTTCCGAGGTAAAAGATCTTAACCTAGAGGATACTCCTTGCAAGATACTAGGTCTCAAATGGGATCCCAATTCAGATTCCCTTCAAATATCTACTCCTTCAGCTCTTCCTTCACAGCAACTCACTAAACGCATAGTTCTATCAACAATTTCAAGTTGTTTCGATCCTCTAGGGTTGGTCAACCCCTTGCTCGCTCATGGCAAGTTAATCATGCAGCAGCTGTGGTTGTTAAAATTGGGGTGGGATGAAATCATCCAAGATCAAAAAGTATTAAAAGAATGGAGCGAATTTTGTAATAATTTATCTGTTCTACATGATGTAACAAAAAAGTTTCACGTGTTGAACTTCATGCATTTTGTGACGCTAGTTCGATTGCATATGGATTTAACATTTATATACGGTCAGTTTATTCGGATAATTCGATCTATTGTTCGTTGCTCACATCAAAATCAAGGGTAGCACCCATTAGTAAAATACTTACTATCCCAAAATTAGAACTTTCGGCAATGGTGTTGCTATCCAGGTTGGTATATCGAATCAGTAAAAATTTAGAAACAAAAATTCATTTTCAATCTGTCAATTTGTGGACAGATTCGCACATTGCTCTATCTTGGGTGAGGGGACATCCTTCTCGATGGTCGGTTTTTGTCAGCAACCGTGTATCCCAAATCCAAGACCTTACCAAAGATTTTCATTGGAGGCATGTTACGTCCGATAAAAACCCTGCAGATTTGTTGTCTCGAGGACATTTTCAAAAAGACAAGCTTGCGTTCTGGTTCAGTGGGCCACAATTTATTAAAGAAAATCACACCGATTTTAATCAACTTGATACCTTTAAACTAGTTACAGCTCCCCCAGAATCAAAAAGGAGAGTTCTTCAAACTGAACTGATCACCCCAGACCCCTGGGTCACCACCTTTGATACGTTTAATTCGTTTTCCCAACTGGTCCGTTCTTTCGCATATTTGTTCCATTTTTTGCGCAATGTACGCCACCC